TTTTGGAGATCGGCCAGCGGAAGTTGCCCTACGATACCATGTGCTTCGCAGCTGCCATCAAGGCATTACAAGGGCTTTGTGAGAGGGTACAAGGGGGCAATGGGGGCACGTAGGATAGGGTTCAGGGCATGCATTTTTGGGCAACTTAGGGTTTAGAGTTAGCGGCCATGTCTAGTCTACGGTTCTATGATTTCAGAACTATTGTGTTTGTTCCGTTTGCTTGCTCGGGGTCTCACAAAAGTGAGTCCTTTCCGCTGACGCTTGCTAGAAGTGTCCTGGAAGTTTTTAGTGCACGTATGCCGGGACCCAGAGACATGCAAAGCAAAATTCTACCACACAAAACTGGTCCTTCACAGGATCTGAAAGACGGGCAACTTGATGGAGGATTCTTTTTGCAGAGGTCCTTGGTGAATCTGTAATGTAGACCCCTGATTAATAAACCCCCTCCTTTTAAGGGCCTAATATTATGATCCCTATGTTTATCCCCATTAAGAGGAGGGGGTTTAATAATTAGGGCTCTACATTATTACCGGTGGTTTTGGAAGCTACTTCTTGCAATGCCACTCGCGACTAGGGATGGCTAGTTTCTATTGCTTCTTTCAGCTGTGGGCTTGTGTTGTGTTTGGGGTTATAGTGCCCCTTAAGTAGATAGAATATGGGGTATATGGAGATCTTCTTATAATATACCCAAAGCCATATTCTATCTACTCGAGGGGGACTGTAACCCAACCTATTAGAACATAGTAGTTTCCACTTTCTTTCCATTATCCCCATATACCCATAATTCATCACCTCTGCATTGAGCTAGGCTTGAGTCTCGCGGTTGTTGTGGCTTTGTGTAAGCCGTACCTGCCTCGATATTGACCATTGTCAGGTGTTGGCAAGTACCAAATCTACTAGTGGTTAAGTACACAGTGGGGGCATGCATCCCTCTTGTAGGGGTAGAATGCAAACGTAATCTATGTATTCCATTCCTGCACTCCATAGCGACAAGAAAGCAGCAAAATCAGAAAAACCGCGATCGCGTGCTAGATTGGGCCCTGAAAGAGCGGACCCCTGAATTTCAAATATTTTCAAATAGCAGACTGCAACACTCTGGGAATGGTTTTGTCCCAAACTGTGAACTGAGTCCTGAGGTCTGCGCCTCGTCCGGCCGTTGGCCACTGGCGCTGTGGCTTCTGCCACTTGCTTTGGGGAGTTAGCATTGTTATGCTACTATCGGAATTGTCTTTTTGTGTACGTTGGTCCTTGGTTGTCGTTCTCAGGCTGGCTGCACTTCCATCGTGGTCATCATTCCTGCTATCATTGTCTGTCACCTGTTGCTGCTAGGTCTTGTTATTGCTGCCGCAACTGCCACCACCACCCCACCATCACCGCCGCCACTACTTTCATGCCTTTCACGTTGGATTCTCGAACAGCTTCTGCGAATAACTCCATCAGTGCAAGCTGAGACGCTGTGTTGGGGTCTCTTGCGACTTGGTCTTTGGGAGATGGATGTTTCTTTCACCCAGGACCGAGATGGCCCAAGAAAAGCTCCGGAGCAATGCTGTGGTGTGCCTCGGCGCCCAATGTGACAGATGAGCAAAGATTCAGTGACTGCTTCTTTACCTGAATGTGTTGCGCTCGGACTCAAAGCCCTTTCTCAATTCACGGAAGCTGCAGGTGCAGCGCAGCCATCACAGCCTGCACTCGAGGCCGAGAGCCGTGCATCTCTTTGCTTGAGACCGAGACTGCCCTGAACCTTCACACCGACAAATGGCACACAGTTGGCAGAGGGATAATCAGGGCTCTTGAGAATGAGTTACAGGCAAAACTGTGCACAATGCTCCCAAACTTGGGTCCTGGTGGAGCAACCGAGTATCTCTGCCAAATCCCTCATGATCCCTCATGGCAAGCAACATTCCACAGCTTCAGCCACGAACCTTTTTTCCGCCCATATATCACTATTCGCTACTATAACCCACATATCCGTTTATAACTTTATGTAACTTTGAGCCCTGAAGAACAGCTTCATCGATCAGGAGAGCAGTGGCCCGAAGCTATGGGCATCTTCGAGGGGATGATGCACCAGCAGGCTGGGACTTTTGAGGCTGAATAAATCCTAAACCCCAATTTCGGAATAGCAATACCAGTACTACTACTAACATCCCAAGTTTCAAGATGCTCCACATGGTGCAGGTGAAGAGCGACATGGTTGCCTGCAACGCGGCCATGGCAGCTTTCGGGTGCCGGGGTTTCGGGGACGGGGGGGGGGGTTGGGGGTTCTTCAGGAGTTTGGGTGGATGTAGAGTTTGGCGAGTGCATTTGGGCAGCCCATGATCAAAAAAACTATATCACGAGAATGGTGTGGCAGCGAGTAGGATGGTTGGTGTCATTTTCTGCTAGCTCTGCACTTCCAGATCCTGATGCTTTTTCATTTCATGGATCGTGCAGGGCCGGCGGTCAGTGGCTTCACTCCTTGTGGATGCTGCCGAGCAACGGAAGCAGCCACAGCTTTGGCACCGCCATCAGTGCTTAGGCAGCATTTGAACAAGATTCAACATCCTTGAGGCAGGCAGTAAGGTAAGTGGCATGGGAGGTAAGAGACCAGTCTGGTTGAGCATTGTTGAGCTGTCACAGAGGTGCCTGCCAAACTGCAGCACAATGGGAGGCGGCTCTGCATCTTGTGCATGCGTGCGTGGAGCCGACACTTGGAAGCCGAGCTTTGCATGATGTTCGCTTCTAGAAGCAAAGAGGCTGCAAGCGAGGCTACAGATACTCTCATGGAGACGCGGGGGTGATGCAAAAAAACTGTGGGGCTTCGCGTGTCTGAGTCACATCGGCAAAGCTTCGATCGCAGTCCTCTCACTACAAACAACCCCAACACGACCCCAGACTCTCCAACAAGGAACCCTGGCCTCACATGGTTTCTGGGAACGTGGCAAATCCTAACTCAACCCTTAACGCTAAACTCCAGGAATGTTATCATGTACAGCGCGGCCATCAGCTCCTGTTCCCGGGGAAGCGCCTGGGAAAGGGCTTTGTGGCTGTGGCTCGGCAGCAGAGGGAAAGCTTGCGGATGGATAGCGGTGAGAGCGTATGCACGGGAAGCGCTGCTCGCAGTTACAACAGCAACCTTGTAGTCGTACTGACCATACCAGTAGCGGTAGTCGCCGGTTGTTGTCGTCATCATCTTCGTTTGCGGCTTCGTCGTTGTTGTCGTCACCCTAGTCGTGACGGTGGTAGTGGTAGTGGTGATGGTAAGGAGAGGGTAACCTCTGAAGTATTCTGAAACCCACAAGAAGGGACTGTGCTGAAGCAGCAGCAGCGGCGGCAGCAGCAGCAGCAGCAATTGTAGTTCGTGTTTGGCATAGTCGTAGTCGTCGGCGTAGGCGCAGTCGTCTAGTGGCAGGGCAGCAGCGTTGGCACCACAATCGCCGCGATCGCCACCGTCGCCACCGCCACCGCCCCCGCCCCGCCCCTGCCCCTGCCCCCGCCCCCGGCCCCCGCCGCCACCGCCACCACCACCGCCTCCACCGCATCACCACCACCGCCACCACCACCAGGACCACCAGGAGGAGGAGCAGGAGGAGTTGTCCTACGCGGAGGAATTGGAGGAGGCTATGGTGGTGTGGCCTGGAAGTGGTCTCAAAGCTTGCAGGGTAAGCACAGATTCATTTTGTTGTTTCCAAAAATGGCGCGTCAGGAATTCATGAAAGGGCGCATGTTTGACGCCACCGATACATACCTGGATACATACCTCAATACATACCTCGATACATACCCGATACGTGCCCCCACAACGTCCTTTTCGTCAAGAGCCCAGCACTGCGAAACATACCCCGAAAATCCCCGAAACATACCTCGAAACACACCCAGAAACATAGCCCGAAACATACCGCGAAACATACTCCCGAAACATACTCCCATCCAATCATGCATTTTGGGCCAGGGTTTAGCCGAAAACACCCTATTGAAAGTGTGGGGTTGTCCTTGCAGGTTGGACAGCTTCCTTCAAAGGGGAATCTAGGGGACCTTGAGGAAATATAGGGGTTGGGCATATAGGGAGTGTGTGTTGGGGAACATTCAAGGGAATGTGGCAAGCTCTTGACCACGCATGTTCTCTGGATAGGACAAATCTTCTCGCTGTTGTGTTATGTTAGAACTATGACTGTCATGACTCGTGCCCGTTTCTTGGTTGGAGGTTTTCAACTATGCAGCTTTCAAGGCCGCGGGATGTGTTTGCTATGCAGACGGGTCAGGGGAATCGGCACAGCGGCTGCTGCATCTATTGCATCATTCTGAAGTAGTTGCATGGTAGACATGCCAGGTAGCATCATCCAGGACTGCTGTTCACACGTCGTTTTGCCTACAGGAGATTCTGAGATTCCATCATCCCTCCTTTCCGCTTGCGCATGTGCCAAAAATATCCAAAACAAGGGTCTCAAGACATTTTCGCACAATGAGAGTAGTCAATATAAGGACTGACACACAGAAACTTTTGGCACATACCCACCTCGGGAGTGTTCGTGGTCTTCTCAGCAGGGTCGAGAGCAGCCTCATCGCGCACAATGCGGCCGTTGCCGCGTGTGATCTGGCAAATTTGAGGTAGTCCTCAGATGAGTACTGTTCAGAAGTACGACCCCTAACACGCACCCCACATCTGGTATGACCTGGCCCAATATTTCGACATAGCCCCAATTGCTCTGCTGTGGCATGTTTTTATGTTCTTTGCTATTGTGAGCTCTCAGGCGAGAATGACGGCCAATGGCAGCGTGCTCTGCTTTTCCTGGACAGTCTCCAACAAGCGCTGCTGGAGAGTAACATCATCACTTATTCTTCCACAATCAATGCGTGTGCCAAATGCGGGCAGTGGCAAAGGGCCCTGCAGTTGTTTGCAGACCTGGCACAGCTCAGAATCGCTTCGAATGTCGTGACTTACGGCGCCGCCCTTCGCCAGCAAGCAACTACCACCTAAACTTCGAATCATAAAGAGCCTACAACCTGAACTGCAGGCGCCCATGTCCCTGCGATACAAGAGTAGCAAGCCTGGATTTACAGTTAGAGCAGCGACCCTTCAAATTCCTTTTTGGCTTTTGGGATCGCAGGTCAGATCTGGTTTGACCCGACAGGATCTTGCTTTCCCTCAGTCGGCATGTCACCAGGGGTACTGCCCCCCCTCAGTAACAATTGGATGATGAGTATAATATGGTTATATATAACCCTATATAGGACCCCCCAATATAGACTGTTACTGGGTAGTCGGCATTGCGGGGCTTTGCACAGCCGCCACCAAGGTTTTGGGAGCCTTCGCTGTGGCGTCGGAGTGGTCAAAGGCCTTGGGCCTCCTTAAAGGCATGCAGGGCGCGGCAGTCCGAATTAACACTGCCGTGTGCAATGTGACTTGTTGTGATGCAGAAGCATGATGAGTGTGTAGTCAGTTAGGCTTTCCCCGCAAACTTGGGGCAACCTTTTTTTGTTTCTCAGATTTCTTTTCTGGTTGTCAACTTGGTAGTTTCTCAAAGTACAGAGACCCTAATGTAAAGCCCCAAATATTACAATCCTTATCATGGGGACCCCGAGAAATGTACACCTAATTTTGGGAAATCCCAAAATTTAGTATTGTCCGGGTCCCTGGATGCAACTTCAAAAATTGGCAAGAACCCTGCTTGCGGGATGGAAGGATTGACGTCTACTTGTGTCTACTTGTAATGTGGGTTTCAAAATCCTGCTTAAAACTCTAGAAGGGACCTCCCAGAATTATGTCGCCAAATTCTGTCAGGTCATCCAGAAAACATGCATGCTGCCAGGCTCAGGCATCCCGCAAACTCGTTGACTGTAGAATGTAGACCTCACCCGAGGCGGCCATCAATGCATGTGAAAGAGCTGGCATGTGGCAAGTGGCCCTGGTCTTGCTTGAGGATCTGGATGCCAGGCCTCATCTCCACGTCCACACAGCACCCCCCAGCCCTCTACCACCTCTGCTTTCGGTTTCGGGTGCCATGCTTGGAGTTTCCCATTGGCTGCAATGGCGAAAATGGCAGGCTATTCTCGTAAGATCATGGAGAAGGGCATCCGAAATTCACGGGGATGAAGGGGATTGTCGATTAAAGAAAGGTCCTTAGGCCCGCGCTTGCGCAGCTCCACGTCATGGTAAGCCCGGACTCGAGGCGGCTGGCCCCAGATGAGTTCACTGGCGGCAGCACGGTGGCCGCCATGGCGGCTGCGGGGAAGAGGTCTCCAAGCAGCTTTGGGGATCTCAGCAAGGAAAGGGCACTGAGTTATTTACATTAGTCTTTTTTGTAATCAGGGATCCATCCTGCAGCCGTTCAGTCTCAGCATCAGGTGATCAGGTTGTAAAGGTTCTCGCCCGGAGGGGTGGATAGAGTCTTCTTCTTGTTGGAAGTTGCGGCTTCTGCTCGCACCTTCCCGTTGAATCCATGGTTTTACCTAGAATTGCAGGGCCCCTCATGCGGCTTTCTCAGCTCAATAGGATTTTTTCAAAAAAGAGTTCGATAAGATGTGGCTGAAGTATTGAAATCCAGATACAGGGACTTCCGAAGGAGTTCCACCATTTTCGGCAGTGATCATTTTAATGCTTTGTGCCCTACATAGCCTCAACATCACAATCCTGCTATCTTCGGAGAACAAAAGGTTTGGAGAACAAATCTCCAGTAGAAACCCTCAGCCCAAATCAGGCCCTCATGGGTGGCAACAAGATGAGCTAGCTATTTGGCATCCGTAACTAACACTTTAGCTGTTACCGTTTTCTCTGAGCTAAGTATTGCCAGACTTATGACAACACATGAACCTCCATGTAGACCAAACGACCTCAACGCCGTCTCATAAACAACTCTCAACCCTAAACTGTAAACCTGCAGCCCTCAATACAAATCCCTCGACCCTGCTCCTACCCCTTGCGCCCTAAACGCTAAGCCTGAAACCTTAAACCCTAAGCGCTAACTCTTAAACTCAAACCCCTCAAGCCTCAGTCTGAACCCAAACCTCTAAACGCTAAATAGTAGTTTCCATTTTCTTGTCCATTATCCCCATATAACCGCAATATAACATATTCCCTATATAGCCCCTCCCCCCCCACCACACGCACCCCCCTCTAAACCTGAAACCCCAAACCCTAAACCCTAAACCCTAAACCCTAAAGAGCTCTCAGGCAGGAGCCTCGGCAGCTGCTCTCGCAGTTAGTGGAGCGTGGCGTGCAGAACCAGGTGCCAAGAAACTGGCCCATCTTAAAGGGGGTTTTATATACCCCAATAATGGAGAATCAAATGGAAAAGAAAATGGAAAATGAAATGGAGACTACTATATATATATATATATAGGGTTATAAGGCTTATATGAGCTATAGTCTAAGCTCCTTAAAGGGGGTTATATAGGGGATAATAGATTACTATACGGGTTATTAAGGGGGTTACTCGGAGTGTAGATTATAGCCCATGATAAGAGAGTCAGGGTCCATGGGGGTTGAGGTAGGATGTTCTTGGGGTTTAAGTATACAGGGTTGATATGTCGCATTGAGCTGTTTAGATTGTAATGCCTCTTCCACGAATCTGTGGGTCACTTGCTGGTTTTCTTATACCGAGCATTGTTGGAGTGCATAGGGGACCCCAATGTGGAGAACTACCCAGAAGTTTTTGATGTCCATGCCAAACCCTGTAACAGGAGCAGTAGGAGCCTGAAGCTTTGTCGTCATGTCTCATATATTCATATATACGGCATTGACAGGGGTCCTAGAGGCATTGCGCAGGTTGCAAGCATTGCAAGCGAAAGTGGAGGTTCAGGGTCAGGGGTGCGGGGAGTACTGGGCAAAAAGAAAGTGTTGCCAAGAAGTCAAGCTTGCTGTTATCATACTCAACATTATCACTGTTCTTATTATACGGGTATTATTGAACTTACAATGATTAATGTTGACTTCGCATTAATAA